GAGAACACGAGATCCCCCTCCACCCTTCTATACCCGAGATCAGGATCTTGTATCTGGAGTCCAGTAATGATATAAATGAATCCGGTTCTCTGCTCAGTGTCGGTCTTCTTTGTGGTAATGGAGGTCTACAGGTGAAGGGATTGGCCAGATCCCGGGCGGTACCTACAGGTGAAGGGATTGGACAGATCCCGGGCGGTACCTACAGGTGAAGGGATTGGCCAGACCCCGGGGCGGTACCTACAGGTGAAGGGATTGGCCAGACCCCGGGGCGGTACCTACAGGTGAAGGGATTGGCCAGACCCCGGGGCGGTACCTACAGGTGAAGGGATTGGCCAGACCCCGGGGCGGTACCTACAGGTGAAGGGATTGGCCAGACCCCGGGGCGGTACCTACAGGTGAAGGGATTGGCCAGACCCCGGGGCGGTACCTACAGGTGAAGGGATTGGCCAGACCCCGGGGCGGTACCTACAGGTGAAGGGATTGGCCAGACCCCGGGGCGGTACCTACAGGTGAAGGGATTGGCCAGACCCCGGGGCGGTACCTACAGGTGAAGGGATTGGCCAGACCCCGGGGCGGTACCTACAGGTGAAGGGATTGGCCAGACCCCGGGGCGGTACCTACAGGTGAAGGGATTGGCCAGACCCCGGGGCGGTACCTACAGGTGAAGGGATTGGCCAGACCCCGGGGCGGTACCTACAGGTGAAGGGATTGGCCAGACCCCGGGGCGGTACCTACAGGTGAAGGGATTGGCCAGACCCCGGGGCGGTACCTACAGGTGAAGGGATTGGCCAGACCCCGGGGCGGTACCTACAGGTGAAGGGATTGGCCAGACCCCGGGGCGGTACTAGGACTTACCCCCGAGGTTGCGGCCTATGGGGGTGATCGTTGGTCACGGCAGATTTCTGTCACACTCACCCTCTGGCGATGGAACCTCTTCCCGTCATACAAGGTGCCCTGCGGAGTCTCCACCGTCACCAGCTGAGAGGAGGAGAAACGTTCAGTGTTATGTGACCGCGAGGACTCCTCGTGACACGGCACCAACCCAGGACATGTACAATGAGGGGGGCGGGGCATACTCACATTGAGGGGCAGGAAGGACAGGGCGTGCTCGATGAGGAGACGCATGAGGCGTTTGGAGTAGAAGATGAACTCGTCTCGGTTGGTGTCTTTGTTCCTGGAGATGGGGGACATCAGGTAAGTACAGGGTGATAATGGGGCCACTCCCAGCACACAGGGTTGGGGGGGGAGGGGGGGTCTCACCTGATGATGGTGTGCATTCCCCGAACTTGGGGCGTGTTCTGGAGGACACTCAGGGTGGTGGGGAGGGGCTGTCCTTGGTGGGCCGAGGCCAGAGCTGCCCTGATAACAGAGGGAAATGACAGGAGATCACACCCGGTAATGTGCAGGGCAACCTACAGCAAGCTCCACCCACACACAGTCACCCTGCAAGGGGAGGGGCCAAAAACTGGTCCGGAGACCCTTTCACCCTGACGTGCGCAGAGTCAGCGCGGCATCCGCGGGGGGAGGAGCTGAGTGAAGAGAGGAGTGGGGGAGCAGGGCATGCTGGGAAAACGGGGGTTCATTGAGGGACACAGAATTCAGAGACAGCCGGGTTGTGGTGCCACCGGCAGGAGGATGTGGCCCCCGGCATACAGCATTCGGCCCGCAGAGGTTACGGCTCTGGACACCGCGAGGGCGCACTGCGGCTAATACGGAACACTCTGGCCCGGAATACCCCACGCTGCAGAGCCTGGGGCCCCCAGGGCCACATTCCAGCTCAGGAGCTTCTACAGGAATCTCCGATGGTAAAAATGGTTCAACATATCAAAAGACGCCCGTCATCCCGGGACACCAGCAGAAGACTGAGGCATGCTGGGAGTGGGAGGAGTTATACCGGGTCCAGTTCTCCTATAGGTGGCAGTATAACCCAACAGTCTCCGGCTTCCTGTGTCCCTCAATGGATGAGAAAATATATAAACATACAAATCCTGTACACACCACAGATCACACGTATGTACTCCGTGTATGACATCACACCGTGTTATATGTAATATATAGGAGGTGCACACGCCATACTCTGTATAGAACAACACATACAAGGTTATATGTACCATACATGACACACGCCATACTCTGTATAGAAGAACACATACGAGGTTATATGTACCATACATGACACACGCCATACTCTGTATAGAACAACACATACAAGGTTATATGTACTATACATGACACACGCCATACTCTGTATATTGAAACATAGTGTTATAAGAGATCACACAGTGTATTATAGACAGTAGCTTGCATAAGTATTCACCCCCTTGGCATGTTTTCTATTAATCCAAGTTTCACATGACCTCAGTATATACACCTGCGTGTAATCCAAGTGTCACATGACCTCAGTATATACACCTGCGTGTAATCCAAGTGTCACATGACCTCAGTATACAGTATATACACCTGTTCTGAAGGGCCGCAGAGTCTGCAACACCACCAAGCAAGCGGCACCATGAAGACTGAGGAGCTCTCCAGACAGGTCAGGGACAACGTTGTGGAGAAGAAGTACAGATCAGTGTCGGGATATCTGAAGACCATCGCATGGAGCACCATGGAAAGAATATGACACCCCAACAAACCTGCCAAGAGAGGGGGGGCTGCCCCCACCAAACCTCCCATCAGACCAAAGATAACCCTGAGGGAGCTGCGGAGATTGGAGGGTCTCTCCTGAGGACAACCCACAGAGCAGATTACATGGAAAGGTGGACAGAAAAAACTTGACTGTTCACCAAAAGGCATGTGGGAGACCCCCAGGCATATGGAAGAAGGTCCTCTGGTGAGATGAGGGAGACCCCCAGACATATGGAAGAAGGTCCTCTGGTCAGATGAGGGAGACCCCCAGACATATGGAAGAAGATCCTCTGGTGAGATGTGGGAGACCCCCAGACATATGGAAGAAGGTCCTCTGGTGAGATGAGGGAGACCCCCAGACATATGGAAGAAGGTCCTCTGCTGAGATGAGGGAGACCCCCAGACATATGGAAGAAGGTCCTCTGGTGAGATGTGGGAGACCCCCAGACATATGGAAGAAGGTCCTCTGGTGAGATGTGGGAGACCCCCAGACATATGGAAGAAGGTCCTCTGGTGAGATGAGGGAGACCCCCAGACATATGGAAGAAGGTCCTCTGGTGAGATGAGGGAGACCCCCAGACATATGGAAGAAGGTCCTCTGGT